ATAGGCACATCTGAGCCTATTGTGAATATAACAGCCGCTTGCTACTCCTGCTGCAGTTTCCCTTGCTGACCCCTCCTTCGGCCCGGTAGTCGCTCGTAGTTCCACCACCCTCCCTTGTCCGGCGGTTCCTTCGGGCTCTCTTACAGGCCTGCACATCCCCTCGTTCTCCAGGAACCTAGTTGGTGTCGGTTGCCTCCAGGACCTTGGCGTCACCACTATGTTCCCTGGTCACGAGCGGTACGATGTCTGTACCGAGGCCGCCGTTGGTGCCCCCCTCACCACGTTCCCCCGGGACCCGGTGTCCGGCCTGTTCACACTGGACAGTGCGACCCCCATGGTAGGGACGTCTTCTCAGGTGGCTGCGTCTACCCAGGTTGCTGCGGCCTGCTCCTGATGGTCGCTCACTCACCCGAAAATCTTGTGGCACCATTGTTTAGGTCACCCCGCCCTCCAGCTCCTGCGTCACATGTCACAGCACGGTCTTGTCCTAGGTCTCCCAGGGTCGTTCCCCGAGTTGCCCTCCTCCCCGGCACCACCGTGCACGCCCTGTGTCGAGGGCCGGCTCCGCCGTGCCCCTCACTCCTCCTCTTTCCCCCCTACCGCTGCACCACTACAGACCCTGCACATGGACGTCTGGGGCCCCACCCCTGTCCATGGGCTGTGTCGAGAGCGCTACTTTCTAGTGCTTGTCGACAACTGCACGCGCTACACCACCGTGCTCCCCCTGAAGCGGAAGGCCGACGTGCCTGACGTTCTCATCCCGTAGCTTGTCTCTGTGCGTGTCCACCGTGGTTTCCCTCTCTTATGTCTCCACTCCGACCGTGGTGGCGAGTTTGCCTCTGGTGTCCTCGGTCGTTTCTGTCGTGCAGAGGGCATCACCCAGACGTTCACCCTGCCAGACTCCCCGCAGCAGAATGGGGTCGCTGAGCGATGCATCAGCTTGGTCATGGAGGTGGCCCGTACCTCCATGATCCATGCCGGTGCACCCCATTTTCTGTGGCCGTTCGCTATTTGCTACGCTGCTTACCAGCTTAACCTGTGGCCGCACCCCCAGCAGCCGCAAGTTTCGCCGACCCTTCTTTGGTCCGGGTCTCCTGGTGCCGCCTTTGCGTTTCACGTCTAGGGCTGCCTTGCTCACGTTCGTGCCTCTGGCACGGACAAGCTCACTGCCCGCACCCTCCCTTGTGTCTTCCTCGGTTTCCCCCTTGACGCGTCCGACTGGCACTTCTACCATCCGCCGTCTCACCAGTTCTTTCACTCTCGTGACGTCACCTTTGACGAGTCCGTCTCCTTCTACCGCCGCTTCCCCCACAGAGGTCCCCTTGTTACTCCCCCCCTGTTCCTGGTCACCCCTTCCCCGGTCGCCAATGTCCCCCCCCTCCCCCTCCCCGTCTTGCACCGTCTGGTGTGTCTCACGTCACTCCCCTCCCGTCGGTTGTCCCGGTCAAGGAGTCTGCTGACTCTGGTGGCTCTGCAGCGCAGTCCTCACTGCCTGGCCCTTCCCCGGCGTCGCCTCCTCCGCCGCCTTCGCAGTCGCTGTCGCCGCCGCTGTCGCAGCCGCCGTCACCGCCGCCGCAGCCGTCGCAGCAGCCGACGCAGCAGCAGTTCGTTGGCCCTGGGGGTGCCGGCGCTGGGGTGGGTACTAGTCCTGGGGTTCCTGTCGTGGCTTGTCCCGGCGGGCCTGGGGGTGGTACCGGTGTTCGAGGGGTTTCGAGCCATGGGGGTGTTCTTTCTGGGGGTGCTGGAGTGGAGTGTTCCGAAGGTAGCCGTGGAGCAGCTTGCCGTCCCAGTGTCGGTGTCGTGCCGCCGCAGCAGCAGTCACTGCCGGTGTCAGCCCTTCCCCTGCTCGGCCTTCCGTCCCCTAACCGCGTGTCTGAGCCTCCCCTGCCGTCTCCTCCCCTTCTTGTCTACGGCCCTGTGTTCCCTCCCCCAGACTCGTCTCCGGCTCGTCTTCCTCCTTGTTCCCCTCCTGTGTCCCCTCCTCTGTCTCTTGACCCGACGCCTCCGTCTCACGTCTGGTCTCGCCGTCCCTCCCGTGCTCGCCCCGTCTCCCCTGTCCCGCGCTCTCACCCTATGTTGCTTCGTTCCCACGCGTCTCGTCCTACCCTCCTACCGTCGTCGCTTCCGTCCTCTCTTGTTGTTCCGCCTCCCCCCCTATCTGACTACCTTCGCGCCACTCGTCCCCTTGTTCCTTGGGTCCTTGCCTCCCTCGTAACCGACCCGTCTATTCCGGTCTCGTCTCTCGACGCTCTTGTCGCTATTGTCGCTGACTTCGCCTCTACCCGCCGCCTTGACTACGCCACCGCTCTGGTCTCTTATCCTGCTTGTCCTCCGTTTGTCGGGGGTGCTCCTGCCCTCGGCAGTTATGTCCTGGAGGACCGCCAGTACGAGCTTGCTTTCCTGTCCAAGGTTGCTCCCCATCTCTGTTCCATGCTGTTAGTCCATGAGGGTGACCCAGACGCTTTCAACATCCCGACCCCTCGCACTTACGCTGAGGCGACCTTGGGACCTTGGGCCTCCCAGTGGATAGCTGCCATGGAGCAAGAGGTGGCATCTTGGAGATCCACCGGCAACTAGGTGGATGCAGTTCCTCCACCTGGGGTGAACGTAGTCGATGGTCGGTGGCTCTTCCAGGTGAAGCGCCCTCCCGTCGAGCCGCCTGTATTCAAGGCGCTCTACGTGGCTAGAGGCTTTAGTCAGCGTGAGGGGGTGGACTTCTTTCAGACTTTCGCCCCGACGCCGAAGATGACTACTACACGTAGCAGCACAGTGTGACTACGAGTTACACTCCCTCGACTTTTCCACTGTGTTTCTTCAGGGCAGTCTACACGAGCAAGTCTACATGCGCCGCCCTCAGGGTTTCACTGGTACCTTCCCTCTTGGGACCCAGTGGTTTCTGCGGCGCCCCGTCTACGGCTTGCGTCAGGCTCCCCGCGAGTGGCACGACACGCTGCGTGCTACTCTTGCAGACCTGCAATTCTTTCCGTCTTCCGCAGACCCCTCGCTCTTTGTTTGTTCTGGCTAGACTCCGTTCTACATCCTTGTTTACGTAGATGATCTGGTCTTTGCCATTGCAGACACCACCGCGCTGGCCTTTGTAATGGCTAAGCTGCTGAGGAAACACACCTGCACTGACCTAGGAGAGCTGCGCCACTACCTGGGCCTGCAGATCTCCAGAGACAGAGCAGCGCGCACCATCACTCTCACCCAGTCACACTTGTTGCGCCACGTCCTTCAGAGGTTCGGTCTTCAGTTCTCCTCCGCACAGCACACACCTCTTCCAGTAGATCACAGGCTGTCTGCTCTAGTTTCTGAGGATTCAGCAGAGCCGAGTGGTCCTTATGCAGAGATGGTGGGTTGCCTCATGTACCTGATGACTTGCACTCGTCCAGATCTCGCATACCCTCTCAGCATCCTGGCTCGCTTTGTGGCCACTGGTAGACACTGACCTCAGCACTGGACTACAGCTAAGAGGGTTTTGCGTTATCTTGCGAGTACATCAGGCATGGGGTTAGTGCTGGGAGGACGCATGTCGGTGGTCCTTACTGGACACACAGACGCTTCTTGGGCAGACGACGCAGAGACCCTTAGGTCCTCGCAGGGCTACTGCTTTAGCCTTGGCTCAGTTGCTGTCTCGTGGAGAGCTCCTCGTCTGTTGCCCAGTCCAGCTGTGAGGCCGAGATCTACGCCGGTGCCATGGCGGCACAGGAGCTCCGCTGGCTGACCTTCCTGCTCACTGACTTAGGTGAGCGGCCTAGCTCTGCGCCAGTCCTGTACGCTGACAACGGGGCCATGATCCTCCTGTGTCAGGAGCCTCGACTTGAGGGCAGAGCAAAGCACATCCAGCTGCGGTACTTCCTCCTGCGCGAGCTGCAGCTGCGTCGCCAGGCTCGCGTACTACACTTGACCTCCGGTGCCAACACAGCTGATATCTTTACGAAGGCCCTTGCGCCTAAATATCATCAGCGGCACTGTGTACAGCTAGGCCTTGTTCCTGTTACCTCTCACCTGCTAGGGTCTTGACTATGTACTGACCTTTATATATACTTTTGTTTATTTTTGACTGGCCTTGTGGCCTCTCCTAGTGGCTGGACTAGTAGTGCCGCCCTGGCCTTGCCCTTGTACTGGTGTGTACTTGTTTGACTGGACTTTAGACCCTTGACTCAGAGGTTGGACTAGTAGTGCCGCCCTGAGTTGCCGTTTCTCTCATCAGGAACTGCAGCTGTGCAGACTAGGGGGTGTGTCAAACATATATATAGGTTATGTGTGTATAGACTGTATAGGTTCGTATTTTATAGGGTACAACACTTAGGCTTATACCTTTGTACATTTTTTCTCGATATTCAATCCTACGGTAAGATATATGTATAAGTTGACATACAAATGGGGACTTCACGTGTCCCTGCATTTCAGCCGTCAAATGTGCATTTGGCCCAACTTGAACTCACGCCAAATCAAACTGGGCCTAGCATGCACCCAAAGAGTCCTTCGCGAAGTAACAGAACCACGGTTTTTCGCACCCAATAACACAATAGTTTTTTCCACCCGCCCACGCCAAATTCTGCCCGTTGACTTGCGTGAACTAATTTGGGATCCGGGCTTTAAATTGTAACTTATAGCCTCCCAAGGTTAGGGAATCCCAAGGCACGCATGGATTTTGGTAGCACCCAGAATACTAAATAGCTCTCATACCATATTGTGACGGCGAATGCCCGATCGCCAGAGCACAGTAGAAGTCATTGGGCGATCTTGCCAGAGTGAATGTAGATGACAAGAGGATCGTAGCATAGAATACATGAAATAAATAGGCCAGCCATGTAATGTAAAGGGGTACATTCTATTTGGGGGTACGTCATGTGCTGCAAACGGTTGGAAACCGTTATTCCAACGGTTTATGATTCTTCTCCTTTAGGCAGGACTGGCATATGGGCTGGTTGAATTGTTGACATGAAGTGAAGATGAACCTTTTGAACAGAATCATACGAGTCTGGGAGGTGGTTCAACACTGTTCACGTCAGAAAGCTAGAGGCGACACCAGCAAGAGTCACAAACAGTGCCCGCAGCCACCGCCTCATGGCGTCACAAGACATCATGAGTCGGACCGATCGGGCCATTAGCACCAGTCGGCAGCACTGCTGATTGCGCGCCAGCCGTGCGGGTGTGGGTCCGCGGCCTCCAACATGCGCATTCCCGACAGCCGTCGCAGGGCGCTCAGTCCGTCGCGCTGCCCAAAGCTGCTCCTCCCGCCTCTCCCCTCCCGCCGCTGCCTGCTGCTCGCCGCGCTCGTCCTCCAACTGCTCGCGCTCGCGCTTCTGCTGCCGCGCCTCCCGCCCATCCCCCGCCACCTGCTTTCAGCAAACCCCCCTCCGCGCAATTCTCTTCCGCACGATTCTCTCCCGCGTGCTCTTCGCGGAAAGCGCGCGGAGGAGCGGGTGGGGGGAGGAGAGGAGGTGGAGGGCCTGGAGGACGACGGGGCCTGGCGACTGTACCAGCGGTGGCGGGGGGATCTGCTGGGGGGGGGAGACGGGGGAGGGGGGAGAGAGGGGGGAAGAAAAGAGAAGGGAGATGGCGAAGGAGAGGCGGAGGCAGGAGCAAGCAGGAGCTTGGGAGAGGTAGGTGCCTGGGAGGAAGGTGAGTGGGAGGAAGGGAAGGGTGGAGCACGGAGGCAGTGGGTGATGGGTTGATGCTGTTGTGCGTGAGGGCTACCTGCTGCCATGCGTGCCTCTGCTCTACTTCTCTGTGTCGCACCTCGTCCTTCCGCACCTGTGCGCGCGATACCACTCGCCCATGATGCCCGTGCTCTCCCGCCCCCCATCATGCCCTCACAACCGGAGGCGGCCCCAGCAGGATGAGGCGCAGCAGCAGCGCAGGTGGCAGCGGTGTGGGGGCGTGGGGGATGCCGCGAGCATGCGCAGTGCGGCGGGCATGATGGCAGATGACACGGCAGCGCGCGCCATGGGACAGCAGGCACAGCGTGTCACAGCTGGCGAGGCGGCGGGCAGTGCGGTTGGGAGTGGCAGGGAGCGATTCTTGATGGTGGAAGTAAATGGGGGGCTCAACCAACAACGCACTGCGGTGAGGTGCTCCTCCCTCTTTGCCCCCCTTTCTCTCTCCCATCCCTCTCTAGTAGCCCATGCATAGTGTTTGGAGTAACGGCACAGCATGGCAGGATGGCAGGGCACTGGCGAGAACGGGGCAAGTACAGTGTGCGTGCGACCTGTTCCTCAGCCGTGATCGGGGGGTCATGGACAAGCCATGGCGGTCTCTATGGCGCGCTCGCTCTTGCTGCGCACAGCGTTGCCTTTGCACCCCTAGGGCTAGGGCGTGCCCGACCATGGCTAGGGCGTGCCCGACAAGACATGGTTAAATCGCATCGCATTACAATATATCACATCGCGTTATATTGCATTTTGCGATAACGATTTATCTTTTTTTTTTTTTTTTTTTTTTTTTTTTTTTTTAAATTTTTAAATTTAAATAAAAGAATATCGCGGCGATGCGATGCGATAATATCTCGCGATATTTGCGATATCGCGTATTTATCGCGCTATTTTTGCGCGATAAAATGTGATAAGCGATAAAAAGATATCGCGCAGGATACTTTCGCGTATCGTGTCGCGGAATTTCGCCAGCAAGGGGGGGGGACATGGGCGAGGGCCCTGAACTTAGCAAAAATAGATGGTAAGCTAGTCTAGGTTTCTCTTGCTGAATGGCGCGCGGAAATGGCAAGCGGCAGTTTGGGGGGAGGATTTTGTGTGAGGAGCAGAGCTTGGAGCACATTAGAGGAAGGGTTGAAAATTCTAGATCGAAAGGAGTGCAGTGTGGTTGAGGGAGGGGAGTTTGGTGGGGGTTCAAATTTGTTATGGTTGGTGGTGGGCAGTGGGCGAGTGGGTTTTCTGGATGGGATGTGGTGGTGTGCGGTTGAAGGGATTTAGGGGGTTGGACTGAAATCTCGACCCCAAAGTCAATTGGTTGGAACTCCAACCAATTTCTACCACTTCAATCGCACTAAACTCCCCTGCATCTACAAAATCCAACCCCTTCCCCTCAAACACGCTCCACATGAGAGAGGGACCACGATATTCCCATCTCCCGTCAATTCACTTACCTAATTCCGCGCGAACCTAGGAGAGCCGCCATTGTCGTGCCTTGTGGTGTGGGAACACGTTTTTTTATTTAGGGCGGGAAAACAGTGGCCCCTAAATGCGATGCGATATTATATTGCATCGCGCGATGCACCGCTTTTTTTAGGCGATATTTTTAAATATCGTCCCCTAAAACGCAATATGCGATTTCAGTTTTTTTTCTTAACATATCGCAGCGATGCGATATCGCATCGCTGCGATATAATGCGTGATAAGAGAAAATGCGATGCGATATCGCATCGCATCGCATTTTGACCATGTCTATGCCCGACCATGGTTAGGGCGTGCGTCTTGCCCGGCCGAGAGAGGAGGTCCATTGTGGGCATGGGCAGATGCCCGCCATGAGATCCCACTGCAAGGGCCGCCGGCATGAGTGGGACGTTCCTCACAGTGCGTGTTCTGCGGGGAATGGCTTGAGTGCTGCCATCCGGCAGTCTGCCGTGCCGTGCGGTGGTGGCACTCACTGAGTGGCTGGCTGACGGTTAGCCACGTGGCGCCACACTCGAAGTCCCTCATGGCAAGGTGCGTGTTGCAATGCACATCTTGTGGGAAGAACACCGCAGTCTTTCGCTGGGCGATGATGCCTCCGACTCATGTGCCCACCGGGGTGACCGCGAAGATGAGGTGTGCTTGCCGTGCCATCCCTTGCACCCATGGTAGCCGGGGATTCTGGAGGGGAGGCCCACACGCAAAGCAAGCGTGGCAAAGATTTGGCCAAGGCTGGTGTGATGATCGGGGTTGAGTGATGGAGCAAGGCGGCCCGGCCCCAGCCTGAGCTTCGGCTCGTCCTCAACCTCTCAGGCAACCCTTTCTTGATCCGAAAAAAGTGGTTGGGGGTGATTATGTTCAGTACGAAACGCAGCAACAATCGCCTCGTTGTCAGTATAACCTGGCAACCACCATCCAGATAACCCGCGGCACCGCTAGGAAACCAGCAGAGGCATAAGTGATGTGGCGTGCACTTATGGTGCAAGTAGAGGTGGGCATGAGCTGAGCCTGGCTCGGCTCGGCTCGTTTCGAGGTCGAGTCAAGCCGGCTCGCTGCCGAGCCGGCTCGGCTCGCCACGAACCAGGACCCCGAGATGCCTGGCTTGGCTCGCCCCCATGATGGCGAGCTGGCGCCGGCTCGGCTCGGCTTGCCTCGCTATTTTTTAGGGGTTAGTGGGTTTTTGGGACCCCTGTTTGAGTTGAGGCTAGGCTTGAGCATGAACCCGACCCGACCCGACCCGACCTGACCCGACTTTGCCCTACCCGATGTCGGGTTCGGGTCGGGTCGGATCGGAGTTCATGAAATGTCAACCCGACTCGGGTTTAATAGGTCGGGTGCTACCTGACCCGATTTCGGGTCGGGTCGAGTCGGGTTGGCATAGGGGCAGGGACGGGTAATAAGCCAACCTGACGGGTCGGGTTTTGTCGATCGGGTCGGGTCGGGTTGGGTACCCGAGGGTTGGGTCGACCCTCCGCAAATGTCGACCCGACCCGTCAAAAAGTCGGGTTCGGGTCGGGTTACCCGACCCGACCCGACCCGTTGCTCAAGCCTAGTTGAGGCCGCCAAGCCCTACCAAAACTCCTAACTTAGACTAGGTAGTGCTTTAAAATTGGCTCAGGTGCTAGTTAGGTACGAACGATGTAGTTGCTGGCTAGGGCTAGTGTGATTGGGGTGAGAATGGCATGGTAGTAGTTTGTGAGGAGAGTTTTGTGGATCTACAAACTGTACCCACGCCAATCCCCCCAAATCCCCCCAAATCCCCCCATATCCGGAGGCAAGAGCCACTTGGCTCGAAAACTAGCCGGGGGCGAGCCGGCTCGCCACGGCAACGAGCCGAGCCGAGCCAGCCGGCTCGGCTCGCCACGAGCCACATACAAAAAAAAGAGGCTCGGCTCGCCAAAAAGGCGAGCCGAGCCGAGCCAAGCCGGGTGTGGCTGGGCTTGTGCCCATGTCTAGGTGCAGGTGGCGGGCTAGCTCCATGGGCACTGTGCCCTGTGCAGTAGACATGGGCACAAGCCGAGCCTTTATTTTTGGTGCCCGGCTCGAGTCGAGCTGCGCCGGCTCGGCTGGACTCGAGCCGGTGGCTCGGCTCGGCTCGCGCAGGCGAAACTAGGCAAGCGTGAGTCGAGCCGGCTCGAGATGGCTCGATTTCGAGCCAGCTGGCTCGCAGTTCAGGTAAGGGGGGGTTTCGCGACAGTCAAATTTCAAATCGATAGACTCCCCGAAGCCCATTTCGTCAACCAACCCTAATCTAACCATGTC